AGACTTCTTGTTAGTTTTTGTTTGAGTAGCTTTCGCTCCTCATCATAATCGGAGCTCGCTGGAATCAGTCTTCTTACGTCAATCAGTTTGATGAGGTGGTAGAGATTCAATGGCTCTTACTTACTTTCGGTTTTAGCCTTTTAACAGCTTTCACAGCTGTGTCTACGGCTAACTGAATGTTGTGTCAGCCAGGCTACCCCAGAGGAAGTCATGCTGTCGACCTCAGACACTCGTTTCGCTATTTCTTTCTTGAATAGAGACTCAGTGTCTCGATCTAGCTGGGGTCGTTACCTTTTCGAAGATGATCACCGTTGTCGGTTCGTCAGCAGGGAACCCCATACGTACCACTACGTACTTCTCGGTCTGGCACAACTTCCTTCCCTACTTGGGCACTGAAGTCGCCTGCTAAAACAACTATATCTGAACGTTTTGCTTTTTGCAGCAAATTAGACAGTTTCAGGTAGAAGTCATCTTTAGTTAATCCAAACTGCAGTCTGTTGGGGCTTAAGCGGAGACAACGAAAAGGCAACGACAGGTAGTGCCATCGTTCCTTCTTTTAACGGACCCATTCAGACGAACCGTGCACATACGACTATCTACTGGGATCCAGTCAAGAAGTGATTTTTCACCCTAACACTCAGTGCTATCCCTGCACCTTCGAGTCCTCGTGACCTAGCTGAGGGGTCTCCTGACACCCTTGAAGTGAATTTCGCAGTTTCACCTTGTTGACCCGTAAGGTTAAATGAATGACCACACTCGGGTCTTGTATGCGTGTGTGCCTGGCTGCAGATGCCAGAGTTGTTGATAGTGATGCTTGTTGTCCGATTTGTCAGAGGGTCCTGACTTTAAATGCTCCTATATGAAGTTGGCGATGTGGCTTTGAAAGGCTATCTGGGGTGTTTCTATGGCTCTCACCGTTGTTTGTGGTCACAGAGTGAAGTGAAGATGACTCACTAGCCTGCAGAATAGTACTAACTGTAGTAGAAAAGCAAGATGAGAAAGGTGGTGTGAGTAAAGGAGAATGATTCTCAGGAAGGCTTCGTATGCTTTTGGAAGTGTGTGGGCGGCTGTTACTTCCCGGCTGCCCACATCGTGGAAGTTGATTGATTCTTTGGTTACCTGAAACAGTGAGAAGGTTAGTGTTGCGTGACCGCAGAGCCCAGGGGACAACTGCTTGAGCCAGGCCGGTCACACACGGCCTGTATGAACTGGTTTCTGGGATTGGTTCCGTATTAGTAAACTTACCGCCGGTTACGGACCACCGTAGGGTAAGTCGGGATGTACAATTTCTGGGGTCTATCTTTTCTAACCCCCTCTCAAGAGTGGAGAGACAGCATAGCTGGCTAGCATGCTGGTCACCTGACGGAGACACCTCACTGCTGTTACACCCCTGTTCCCCAGCACTGCGACTTCGCACTCACACCCCCAGCATAATGTAAGAAAGATTCCTACACAATGCCTGTAACTGCTTTTAGTCTAATCGCTATCCTAACAACCTTCCTGGCATGGCAGGACCTGCAGGAACAATATTTTCGGCCAGTGCAACGTTTTGGGTCATCGTGATGTGCAAGCCCGACCACCACGTCAAAGCAGCAACTTTCGGTTGGGTAACGATGGAGGAATAAAAGGGGTATTCAAATCCACAAACTCCCCCTTATGGAGCCAATCAAACAAAACAATTTAGTTTATCTAATATCCTGCCTGCAATGATTGTCAGGTCAAATACATAGGTCAAAGTAGTAGAACAGGGTTAGTCAGAGTATCGGGCCATAAAAATCTAGATTAGTTGACCCAAATACGATAAGAAATCGGGAGAATAGTTCAGCAGCTATAGGACTCACTACATGCAATATCACACAACCATACATTAGGATGATGGGATAAGGCGACAGTTTTAAAATCTATTACAACTAACAGGGTGGGGGGGGAAATGGATAACGAAAGCTTTATTTATCGAACCAACTGCAAACACGTGTAGTAGGAATGATTTCCAGTCGGGCATCTGGAAAATTCTGCTACCCCTACGACGACAAATAGGAAAGAATGAAAAAAACCATAAAACTCAAGCTTCGAAGTTGTGTGATTCATTAGTGATGCTATGATTATGAACAATAATGAATTTGTTGTCATCCAGTAAGTGATAATACTGTTTCACTGACTGTGTGGTATATCTAATTAACAAATTAAAATGAAATAAATATAAAATTTGGGCACTGTGGTAGAGTATAACTCAATTATATATAAGATTTCATTTTGATAAACCACACAGTGTTTGTTATACAGTAATATTAACTGATGACGGCGTTTCGAAACGTCAAAAACAAAATTAAAGCTAAATGACATACTACCACATTGGCGAGGTTTTACGCATATATTGTCCTTTCCCGTGTTATGCAAATATTTCCCTTCGCATCTTTCCTACTGTATAAATGAGTACTGATGTTTGAATGTGGGATACACAGTGGGCTATTGCTTTTTTGATTATAAATACCTTGGGAAAGTAGCTCGCTTGTGGTGTATGGTGGGCGTTACACGTTGAGTAATAGTGTGATTAAATACCGAGTTCCAAAAGACGAAGGATAGTATATTGAAATATTTTTCGATCACAGTGTTGTTTATTTCTAGGCACCGCAAATTTTAGAGTGCTGTGTAACCTTGGCTAGAACTACTATGGAGAGAAGATAGAGTTGATTAGAAAGAAAGACCCAGCACCAATGTCTACACTCTTCTCCCGTCAGGTTTTACCATATAATTTGCTGATATGTTAATGTCTACCAGCCTGATAGGAATCTTCCATGATGTGTAGATGCGTTTACTCTGAGTGAGGATATGATTTACTGTCAACAACAACAAACCTATCACACTTTCACATCAGTATACTTGAACAGAGAGAAAAGGTAAACTGTAAACAAAAGCATGAAACCATAAATAAAGACTGGAATGAGATCGCACGCCTGACCATCCATCGCTCTAGAGGAATCCGAATGGGAAACAACGAGTGGGTGACAGATGGAAGAAATGAGAGATTATGGGTAATCGTTGGCATAGATGAAGACGACAGAAGAAAATAGAACAGAGTGGAGATGTGTTGTTGAAGCCCTATGTTTTATTTGGAACCAAAAGGGTAGTAATAATAACAATAATAGTAAAGACCGGAATTAAAACAGTATATGTATTTTGTTTTTATAGGGATAAGGTGAATAAACATTATCCAAATTAAAAATAAAAGTATTTTTTCTTCTCAAATTTGAATGTAATGTATTTGGGGGTGTATTATGCACCATAATACTGAGATTCATGCGCTATGTGTACACCTTGTACTATTGTGTGGCGTCGAAAATCGCACGCACACAAGATAAAGGCGATAAAAACACTAAAAGACCATTCCGCTTGTCTGTGATAAGGCTCATGAACGATGCATTAGGATTGTTTTTAGTTCGGATATGCTGATCATTTATAAACTGTCATACTTTTTAGCTGACATCTTGAGTAGTGAGTGAGTGGTGTATGCGTACAGTTTAAGATGTAATGTACTCAGGTTAATTTGAGGGACAATTCACTATTCCCTTACTAAGCATAATTTTTCACACATAAACATTCATTCATATCACGGCTACCTGAGGGAAGGACCTTGTGATATGTAGTCACATGATATCTGCTTTGTTTTGACAGTCTGATGCTTGCTATATTTGCTATGCATACACATGTATGCATATTGACCGATAGACACGACAACTCACAATATGCTTGTCTGTCCATTAACTAGATAAACAATGTGTGACCTTCAAATGAACCATCGTCAAGATTTGACGGATTAGTTCTAAAATATTTTACTTATGGTATGTATGACCTTTTTGTCATATGACATTACAACCAATCAGAATCCAATGTCAGGAAGAAAAACTACTTATTGGTTTATCTTATTGGCTCATGTGTATCTGTCATTCTCTTATATACTCTTTCACTGTACACTTTTACCCACTCTTTCATATCTTTCGTACACTGCGTACGTTTTCACTCACGCACACCTGTGTGACAGTCAATTTCCTTTGCTGGAAAATACGCGCATCATCGTGGACGTGGCGATCTTCTGATTTTTCCGTTTTCGCGTCAGGACAATTAACTACTCAGCAGTACATAACACCTTGTTAAGGTAAGTAGACCGAGATAGACTTATACTGTCACTTTGAAGTGATGTTCGATTTTGGAAGCAGTCAGAAGGAGAGGCTTGGGACGCTGAGGTTTTTGTGTACAATGACAATTTTAATTAAGAAATATCCACAAGCTAGAAGGAATTGATGTCCACCTTGGAGATTCGAATCGTTATCACCCAGTACTCGATTCAGAGATGTTACTGTGGAGTTGTTCAGTCTGCAGTTGAACTTTTTTTATTCCTTTGCGTTCCCAGTGGAACATATAGCTTCAAGCTAGAGCTTTGAAGTTTCGGTAGGAGTGGTTTTATTTTTACGGGGTGGGATACGTAGTCTAACGCCCAAGCTTTCCTTTTCAGGCTTATTTCCAGCTGAGTGAGGTTTGAGATTGCGTCGGTCGAGGATCGAAACCCGGACTACCTGAATGGCTGGTGAGCATTGTACCTCTGCGCCACCGACACACACAGTTTAGCTCTTGTAAGATTCTATTGAATATGTTGATTGATTGATTTTTGAGTAGTAAACGTTGTTATTCTATGGATCAGGTCTTCATATTTCGTAGCCACATTGCAGAACACCATAGTATCTGAAATTTGTTAACTTCGAACTCTGAACAAAATTAAACCTATTCTGGTTGTCACGTACGTCTTCTAAAAACACATATAAAAGAGGCAGGGGAAATAAAACTAATGAAACTATAGTAGAAGTAGTAGTATTCTATTTTTTTCTGCTTTTCATTTTCGTTAGATTAATCTTCTCCTATACAGTTCCACTTCATTTGCGTTGGGATAGTTTATTCCGTAATTGTGTCATTAACACTATGCACTTATTCAATTCTACTTCATCGTCATGTTTGACAGACTATGTGAAGAGTTTGACATCTGTAAGTTCATCATTAATAATGTATAAATAATTAACGGTTACTACTTTTGCATTTCTTCTTCTAATCATCCCTCTTTCAGTTATACTAAACACTTTGTTTTGTTGTTATTGTAAGTAATATTATTGATGAATCAGAGAATGTCCATCTCATCTTGGTATATACCTTGTTTATGTATCACTCCACTTGTGTGTATAAAGTTTGCATTAAACTTTGACAAATCTAGATTATATTAAGTGTTCATTAGATTGTCATGTGAACGTATATATATACACGTATAATTTTGAGTAACTGGAAATGAAATCATCTGAAGTTATCCGCGTCCTTTGTTTTTGAAAGTTTCATATCAATTTGGTTTCTTTTCAAGAACTAGTCTGTAGGGATTGTATTTGTTCCAGGTTAGACCAAGGATTGATATCAGTTAGAGAACCATTGAAAACCATCATGGATGCGTAACACATGTCCTAACCATCTCAGTCGATGTGACTTCCAGTCTCGTCGATTGATTTCCCCTCCTCCTTACCTAGCACTCACCTCACTCACCTCAATATTGCACACCTATTTCATACGGGAGATAGAACGCAGACACCTATGATCAAAGACCGATTGTGTACAGTTAATTCCGCTTTCGTTTCGTTTTCAGATCAATCAGTTTATTTGAATTGGCTTGTGATTGTCCTACCGAATATGTATCCAACTTTATTTGGATTATTTAAAGCACAATACGCTATGCTGGATAAATCCTATTGGGTATACCGTCAAGCTTTACATTGTAAATCTTTGTGCTATATTCCTACCTTGAATTAGACAAGTAAGTGTAAACAAAAATGATCACAGTTTTTTTGAAGTATTACTTGTTTTTAATTCAGTTTTGGTTTTCTCGTTGATGATGATTTTTTGAACCTAAGTGTTCGGCTTCTAGCATGGAGGCTTCGTCGCCCAAGTGTTCTAGTGGATAACGATTTTGAGTTTGAAAGGATGGGTACACTGGGTTTGAGCCTCAGTGGGAACATCATCACTTACTGGGATTGCAGGTTAATCCAGGCGGCGAGTCCTGAAGTAGAGGATGAAGTACCCATCCTGGATTCAGCTGCTAGTCACCATCCACCAAATGACTCCTAAATGACTGTTTGCTAACTAGACAGACCAGTGTTGTTCACCCACAGTAATTTAACAGTATATGATCAGCCACCCGAATCCTGATTGAATCAAACTGATTTGCTGAGTGTGAACGTAGAACTTTGCACAGACGTCTTCCACTTGAGGCTGCCACATTGCATGTAGCACATAAAAGTAAAGGAAATAAAAACTAATCAAAAGAACCTTAGTGTAGGGATATATACAGGAGAAACATGAAGATTTCATTTATGTAGGATGAGTCTAGCTGTCAATCCACGTATGCAATTGGATATTTCTTCGCTAATTAGAGATTTCGTGGTCTAGTCACGTTTTGAGGCGTATGAGCATCATAGTTCCTTGTGTTTTATGTCCGTTCAGTCGCAGGCCTATACGTGTAGGAGCCAGAGCGGGATCGGAGTCTTTACGCAGGTGTTGTAGAAAGAGCGGTGGTCTTCTACCGACATCTTATAGGTAGCCACAGAACCTGTTTTAGTTCATCGTTGATTTTATGATGGAAGTCACTATATTAGACAAAGTCTTGCTATATTATATGTGAAGTTAGGGCGTACGAGTAACAGGTGATAATCGGAACCTGTAGAGTGGACAACCGCCATTATCAATTCTCGTCGGTATGGGACTCCAAAGGTACAGCCAATATACTTTTCTCATCTACATAGCTTCCTAACGTGAGTATTGAAATCACATGCTAAAATAACTATCTGAGTGTTTAGCCTTCACCAGCCAATTAGACAGTGTATGAGAGAACTCGTCATTTACTGAGTTCGGATTGCAGTCGGTTGTAGCGTGTGTGACGGTTATGAAATGACATCGACTTGCATCTCAATCTTTCCCTCTCATACTGAGAAGAAGATAACAGACGAAGGAAGCAAGATTTATCCTTTCAGGAAAACGAAACAAATTACTGAAAATTACAGATTTTCATTTAGTTATTTTACACGGCTGAAATTTTATAAGTTCACTTTATTGCAACTGTATTGTTGACTAGTTGACTACGTACCAATATAAATTTAATTACATGAAGTTTTGATATATATTAAGGCGAAATATTTTTTTCCTTAGCTTACTTGGAAAACGCCGACTAGTAGTAGAAGTAACAAAACCACTGAGTAATACCGTATTATTTATCTTGATAGTGATGCTTAGAGGACGGTTTGAGGGGGTGGGGTTAATGTCACTACAAACGAACGAGCTCACCAACTCCCAGTTTCTCATAAAAGAGTCTTCGTGTTCACTATCGCGTTATATCAGGTGCTAAAGTTAAGGTTACCGTAGACTATATTCAATTAAAAGTTAGGGTCAACATTGATGGTTCACTGATAGAGAGCTTAGCAACAACCGCGCATGCCATCAGGATTCGATTCCTGGTCGAATTATTTCCGGACCTCTCTCAGCCGGTAGGTAAGTCTGACAAAGAGTGAAGTTTGGTAGTACACCAGTTATAATCATGAAGCATCGGCACAAAGTAGTAAACAGTGTAGTAGTGATGTGTGGGGCTTCATTAAAAAATATATCTATATATACATAATGCATCATATGACAGACACTTTCAAAGTGAGGAAAAAACTTGTGGAGAAATAAATAAAAATATCTGATCTTGTTCTCACTAAACAGTTCTGTCTGACCCCAGGAAACCTCCTTACTCCAAAAAGCGTCTGTCTGTCTGTTTTCGACATAGAACTTTGCACATATGTGCATCAGTCCAAGTCGCCACACTCCATGTGGCACACAAAGCAAGAGAAAAAAGTAAAAGCGAATGCAAAATAGAGACGGAAAACAGAGGTGTGTGACAAAGGAATAGTAATAACGAAGAACAGCATAGTTTCATTGGAAATCATGAGTCACAGGGAGTGGATGCGTCTGCGCCATGAGAACGATTTTGAGCGATATCACCAATTGTTTCCAGCCATTGGTGTTTACCGTCCCGAGGACCCAAACCAAGAAGTCTACACCTTCCTACGTGGCTGGCTGAAACTAACTGTTGTGGATTTCATTGACTGGTACCATGTTATGGTTTGACCACCGCTGGCTCTTTTCCAACCTGACCCTATATAAGCTAACATTGCCCTGCTCGTCGAAGAAGGTGATGGCTAGGCATGCATGCGTAACACATGTCCTTACTATCCCAGTCGATGTAGCTTCACAGCCTCGTCGATTGATTTCCCCTCCTCCTTACCTAGTACTCGACCGAAGCCTAACTTCAATATTGCTCACCTTATTATACCACTTCACAAGGGAGATAAAGCGCTGGCACCTATGCTCAAAGATAGCTAGCCAGCCTTTTCATGTCTTCCACTCTCAATGGCCAGGTCTCACAGACGGCCATAAGGGAGGACGGAGCGGACTGATGAGCAGTACACTCGCGCTTTGGTCGATATTCGGATATCTCGTCTACAGCAGAGACGGCGTAAACTGGCATATGCTAAACTAGCCCTCTGTATCCGTACTCAGCTCAGATTTTGTCAGCGATCAACCCGTTGGTGTAGGCTGATGCGACTTTCCAAATAAGTGAAGAGGTCAACGTGCTCTACCACCTCACTTCCTATTTCTAAACTAGGAGTCAGTGTAGACCAGTCCTGTAACATCTTACATTTGGCGGGAGCGAATCGCATGCTAAACATTCGTAGATTGCAGCTCAAGGTGTTCAGAAGACTCTGCTGTATTTTGTCAGCGTCGACGCCTATAGGGACTATATCGTCTGCATATTCTAAGTCAACGAGATTATTCCCTGGTAGCAAGTGAATCCCTGAGTCTCTGAAGTGAGTTAGGGTTAAGTCGATTAGTACATCTATGATGATTTGAATAGAAATGGGGATAATGGGCATCCCTGACGGACACCACTAGTCGTCACCACTTCAGATGACAACTCGCCGTAAGCCCTCACCTGGCTGATGGTATGAGTTCGAGTGGAGTGAATGCCTTGATCAGTTCAATGCATTTTCTCGGCATTCCCTTCACGGTCGAGCGTCTCCAGAGTTACCTCTCGGTCGACAAAACGAATCCCGCCTTCATATAGAGAAAAAAATGATTGTTGGACGCCGGTAGGAAAGCCTATGTTCTAGAATCTGTCGAAGGGTGAAGATATGATCAATAACCCTCTTTCTGGTCTAAAGCCTGCCTGGCTCTCTTGTGTGCGTTCCTTCCGAGCACCACTTAGTCTACTCGATATTATTGAGCCTAGGACTTTAGATACTAGATTAGTCAAGCTAATCCCTCTGTGATTATCACAGGAAGACTTGTCTCGCTTCTCGTATATGGGGATAATCAGTGATTTAATCCAACCCAATGGGACTTCCTCCGATTCTCAGATGCTGCCTAGTACCTCAGTTAATGCGTACAGTAAACTGTCTCCACCGTACTTAAATACCTCTGGAGTCATTCGATGAGGTCCTGCTGCTTTACATTGTTACAGATAGGTGAGAGCTTTAGTAACTTCAGTTAGGGACGGAGGACTTGTGTTGGATGTTCGGCAGGTTGAGCGTGGCTGTAGGCCAATTAAACTGCTCCTCATAGTGATCTTTCCAGCGTTCCCGTCACCTATCCTGGGAGCTAATTATGGTGCGATTTTTCTCAGAGATGATTGTTTCACATATCATTTGCCATCACTTACCACCTGTTTCCCTGATAAGCCTAAATAGTTGTCCTGTGTTACCACCAATCGCCGATGCCTTTTCCATCTCTTTCGCTTTTGTCGCCCACCACTGTTCACGGTCGTTTCGAAGACTTCTTGTTAGTTTTTGTTTGAGTAGCTTTCGCTCCTCATCATAATCGGAGCTCGCTGGAATCAGTCTTACGTCAATCAGTTTGATGAGGTGGTAGAGATTCGAAAAGCATATAATGTCTTTATTTTTTTGAAGTTTTTCTTTCACCGGTAGTTTACCCTAGTCAAAATTTTGATCTCAAAATACCTATGTATATTCTAAATTTGTATCCTAATTATGTGGATTCCAGCAAGAGTATCCATACAAATAACTTATTGAATTTTCCTGATTTCTTTTTCCTCAAGGAACTTATGGCTGTGGCATCCTCCTTCAGTTTCTAACAAATCGACGGTAGGTAACATCTCTCTGTTCATATTGGCATACCGTACCTGACTGGGGTATTTCTAGCATTAGTTAGGCAGTTAATTTAAATCAACAATGTCGGCATCTATAAGTGTTTATTGATGTATGATCGAAAGATTTATAGTTTAGGTGGATGTTTTTTGGTATTCTTGTATATGTGTTCTCTAGGTTGAATGGTTTAATATATGCCGAAACTTTCAGTTCACCTTTTGGATGACATCTTCGGTTCTACCTTCACTGTAAATTGTGCTTTGGCAGTTCTGTTTGGATGAAATATCCATCCTTCCTGATGACACTGACTGTAATTGGTTAATAATAAAGTTTTTTTTTCATAATGGTTTTACTTACACTTTTGTTGATATTTCTCATTTCGTTGACCCAATCGATATTCGACCATTTCACCTTTTTATTAATCGATAAAATTTATCAGTATTAACATGTCTATTTTATTTGTCGTAAATTGCTCTGACGACCAAGCTTCCAGGAAGACTCTGGCATTCTTCGCGTATTCACTTTTATGAATGCAGTGTAGTGCGATGGCTGAGGTCTGATTTTTCTAGGTTAGATAAAGGTAAAAATTTAGCTAAAGCTAGAATAATTGACCCTGCCTGTTAAGTTGAATAACGTAGAAAAAACAGCTCAGCCACTGCTGCACTGTCATCACTTGTATGTTGGTATCCACTTTGGCTCACATAAAGTTAATGTCCTTTCTTAGCTGAATTTCGTCTTGTCTTTTTCTGTTGTTGACTCTTTCAACTCACACTCTTTTCATTATATGATAACAACTTAAGAATAGCTGTGTTGGCTTTCATCATTGTCGTGGTAATCATCAGTGGAATTTGTGCTCTTCTTTAGATGACAGAGTCACTTCGAACTGATTGATTCGGCATGGATTTCTACTGGTTTTCAAAGACAGATTTATCCTCCTCACCACTTGACAGAATGGTTTAATAGTATTCATCTACGTACCATATAATATACGGCTGAGTCAGTCAATTTGCATGTACCTTGTTGTCCATAGTGCAGTTATGTTTGTCGGCGTCATATTATTTCTCATGTAGATATTTTTAAAAACAGATTGAAAAGTCTGATTTGTGTGTGCGTGTGTGTGGACTTCATTATTCTCCATAGTGATTTCGGTAAGTAAACAATGTCTGTTGCCTGTTAAAGAGAATATTCGTTGTAGAATAGATGGATACTGGTGCTTCTATGGTTGAACTGTAAATCTGTCGTTGCATGCATGCGTTTTCTCTTGTCCCTGGTAGACGGACCTTTATCTTCATATCATACTTGCTTATGATCCTCTTAATCTGTATCTGTAATCACTTCGGTGATAGTTTAAGCGAGCTATTAGTCAGTCTACAAAGTTTTCATACAGCTACACACTGACAACAATAAGACGACAGGTTGCTAAGCTGCTATTCAACACCTGCATAAGTAGGTTGATAAGTGAACTGGAATTTGAATTCGATCATTTTACAGTGTATTTGAATCTAGCCTAGTAACATTCTTTAGACTGTCAACATCTGTCTCTCCGGTACCATGAGTTTTTGTGCAATCAGTGTTACATTTAGTCTTAATACAAGCAGTTGCATATCTTACTAAGCTGCACTACATAGAAATCTTAGTCAGATGTTTGTGTACACAAGTAAACAGCACTGCCTTCCATTATAAACTATAACAAGCTAAAAATGACATAGTGAGGGAGAGGAGAAGATGTTATCGTGATTCTAAGGCTTCCATTTTGTCATCAGCGTCGTACGTATATATATATATATATATATATATATTCACTCACTAATATACAATTCGCTGTCATGTGATTATTTCTTTTTTTGTTTAGACACCATTATCCGAAGAATTTTCCGCCTTTCATCCAGCTGTAGATATTCTTCGTACGATTTGGTAAGTTCTGTGTGTGTCCTTTAGGGAAAACTTATCGCCTTCGGCTGACTGTCTCATGAACAGTGTCGAGAGAAGGGGACAGTTGCTGATGAAAGTATGTGGTGGTGGTGGTGGTAACCTGTTGGAAATGGTTTTGATGACGTATGCGCCAAATCTCTGAATCGTGTACTTCTGCACTCAGTGCCGAGTAATTGTTTATTATTATTGTGTTTTTAGAGCGTTTAATTCAGTCGAAGTGTGTAATTAATATCCAGAAGATGAGAACAACAACAACAACTGGCACTATCGATGCTTAACAACAACTGGATTTTTCCTACCACACATTCCTGGCAAATAATATACTCGATGTTTCTTGTAAGCGTCATTGTAAAAAACTTCGTCCGCTTTGTCAAAGAAAAGAATACTTGTTGTATGCAGATAGTGTGAATTTGTTTCTAGTTCACCTTAGTTGGTAAAAGAAGACATTCCGGTTCCTTTTTTTCTTTCAGCACGTGTCTCTGATATTTCCACTTTACTTTATTTTTCGTCTATCACATTGCAGTCAAGTGATACTGTGTTATGTACTTGCCAGACAGACAGACAGTTGTTGTTGTTTTGTAGTAAATTCAGTTTTTCATGTTGTCGAAATTTTCCAGTTTATGTCTGTCGAAATGCATTTAGAACTAACCTTCTGTTGACCAGCAAGCTTTCTGTCTCTCTGTGTTCCTTGGTTTTCCACCTACCTTACTGGAACACATTTAGCAACAAATATTTCAAGTCTGAAGGATTTTCATACCGCTTTTGAGGGAGGTTCCATCCTGCTTCATTCATTCCATGCTGAAATCAATGACATTACCAGTACAGTAGCCGTCCTGGCCACCTACTGACTTGCATAAAAAGCATCAGATCAGCGGCAGCTACACTGAAAAAAACTGCTTTTATTATATTGTCCTACTCTGTGTTAAGTGTGAATATTCATAATCGTATTGTAGTGTTTATATGTGTCTGTTTGTGTGTGACGCAACAGGCGTAAACCGAGTACTGTAACTGTTATTGACTTATTACATGGAGAGAGACAGAGAGATAGGTTTTTCAAACTCTTTCTAGTGACTACATGCATTCTGACGTTCCTAGATAAGGAATGCTGCAAGAGGACACTGGGGGTTGGTTACAATGATAATCTGACTATGAAACCAAAATGAATCGATCATATGAAATGTAAGTCACACTGTTTTTTTAACTATTGGATCAAGGTCACTTTAAGTAGTGGTGCGCTTTATTGATTGCCACTGGTCGTGTGACCCTAAGCTTGTGTACAGCCTGGCTCACACCTTTATTTTCGTACAAATAAAATATGCATGAAAGAATCTACGAGGTTGTGTGACAGTCTCAGATTATGGTGTTGAAATCGCTAATAGCCCATTTGTTTGTATTCGTGGCTGTTGTCAACGAAAATGCGAGTTATTTTTTTGTTTTATTGTTGTAACGTTAGGCCCCTTCTTTGTAGTGTATGTGTGCTTAGTTTTTTTCTTAAGGTTTGATTACGAGTTAACATCAGTCAGACAATGATTGGAAAAGCTGGGACTACGGGACAACTGTTTCGTCCCACCTTAAGACTACTACTATTCATCTCAGTAGTGCGCACCCACTGGGGTTTAAACCCAGGACCTTTCGGTTACAACGAGAGTTCGTAAAGCATGTAGTGGGTAGTTATTGAAGGTAATGTGAAAACCTGGATTGGTATCCGGACACCCCATCTGCTTGTCCAGTTCATCATTTCACTACAATCACTTCGGTTTTTTGGATAATTTAGTTTCCTTTGGTGATATACAATTGTCTGAGTTGTGTAATATATTTGCGCAACACATTTCAAATAATTGGATCGCACACACACACACACATGTGCATAATATAATGAAATGTTAACAGACGAGACACTGAACATAAGTCAAATTATAAGGTTATATTGAAGGTGAAAATAACAGCTAAGATTACCAAAGTTAAAAGATATTTGAAGATGGTAATGTATCGATTTTAGTTGTAAAACTGGATTGGATTTATCAAAGAAGGTTTAGTATGATGATAAATTGTTTGTGGACACGTAATACGGTGGCTGAAACTTCCTAAATTACTCAGGCTTCCACAGACTTTAAGTATATAACCCGTTTCCCCTCTGAAACAGGTTTGATAAATGATGGGTTAAAGAGAGAGAGGCGTACACATCTATTTTAAGGCATTTCTAAATGATGTGTCTCTCGATTTTTCGTCTGTTTCCACCATTAGTAGAATCCGACGAAGCTAGTTTGGCATATTTCCAGTGAACCGTGACATGTTCTGTTTGAATTTTCCTAAAAACGAGACTGTCCTATTACTCAAATTTGAGACATGCTTACACTAATATGAAAAGTACTTACATATTCTGCTTAGACAAGACTCCAATCAAATGTCTGTGAATACAAAAGTTTTCCAAATTTGCTTTCTTCAATCACCTGTTTTAACGCCTCTCGTTCAAAAAAGAAAATCATAAACCTTGTTCGTTTTCTTCTATAGAATTGAAGTTCAACTTAAACTGTTATGTTTCTCTTCTCACAGTGATAAAACTACTCCAACTGAAAAGCTTCTAATTACTTATCAGACATTTGCTACTGTGGATCAGGTAAGTTATTGCGTATTAACACCGTTTACTTTTCTTGTCAATTCTTTATGCATTCCTTCGCTTCATACTGATGATCAAATGGTTAGCCGACCAGAAAGCAACAAAAAACTCTGCAATTGAACAAACCAACCAAGAGCCAATCACCAAACAAATATGTAGGAGGAGATGGACGGGGCATACGTTGATGGGATCGTTGAATGACATCGCGCCCGAGGCTATCGCTTGAGTGGAATAGCAATAGGAAACGGCGGGTTGGTCGTCGCCGCGAGGGTGACATGGAGAAGATCGTTTGAGTTGTAGTAGGAGCAGATGAGAGATTATGGGCAATTGTGGGGTGGGGGTCAGCCAGTTGAAAAAGACAGCAGAAAATAGAACAAAGTGGAGATGTTTTGTTGAAGCCGTATGTTTCACTTGGGAGCCAAAGGAGTAATGATAATGTAATGCATTCCGAGTGGAATATTTGCGCTTCGGGTTTTGAAGATTCTGTAGCGGTGATGTTGTTGTCCTTTTACAACAGGATGGGATCGCTAGTCTTACGCCTAACCACCAGCCTTTTCTCTTTACCGGTGGTTAAGCGATGCTTGAGAATGTGTCCGTCGGTCGAGGGCTGAGTCCGGACCCCTTGTGTATATGTGTGTGTGTGTGTTGTTGACAAGCATTCTATCAATGTTCCTACGCTGTAGATGCCTATTAATTGTGTTTTTCCTTGGAACTAGAAAAATGCGCCGAATGTCTCTCTTATTCTCTAGTTTCAGAAATAAGTCAAAAGATAGACTGCATAGTGTCATACTCCTTAAAATCTGAATGTTAAGTCTCGTTTTTTGGATGTTTCCTTTTTCCAATAACATTCATGTCAATTCCTTTCTTGTTCAGAGCAGGATGACGTATTTCCAGTTGAAGCACGCACATACGCCGTGCGTAAAAGTAGCTACTAGCCAGCCAGCTGACCCTAAATTAGCTTGATTACATCAGATCCACTAACCACTCGTTACAGTTACATAAATAACTAATGCAGTCCTGTGTTTATTGTTAACTTTTTCCCTAGTTTATTTTCGTCCTATTACTCTTCAAATCTTTGTTTGAAACAGTCTTCCTATATATTTACCCTTTGTTTTCAACGAAAAGTTAATTAAAAAATATGGACTACAGAAGAACTTTGAGAATCAGGTAGGTCAAGTTTTTGTCTGTTTTGATTGTTGTTATTTGAGTTGATTGAATTCGTTGTCAACCTGTTTTACAATTTGTACTAACACTGTCTTCCTATCTTCCATCCAGTTTCACGTATTACTGGTTGGTTGGTTGGTTGGTTATGAGTGTACAAGTCAGCTAGTATAGAAACCGGCCTAGGATGGATTAATTCATTTAGTTGGAACATTCGTTCTTGGCGGGGGGTGGGGGTGGTGTATTCTTCAAAAGACAAACAAACAGATAGGAGTAGAGATTTGAATGTTTTGTCGTTGAGACTGGCATTCACACACACACACACACTAAGATACACTACTCTTATAATGGTAGATAAGTGAATCAATGAAGCACCTTGCACAGAATTCCATTGGTTCAAGTTGGCTGAATTTATCGAAACCACACAAAAATGAGGTCTTACTGTATGTATTGAACAAACATGGATATGAAGTAGGAAAAGAAATTAATTTTAATCAACTTTAGCTATTTATTTATTGAAGTTAGAAAATAGTAATAAGTGAATAATATTTGTGCTGTTATAAATAATCCTAATTTCTATAGTTAATTATTCTGATAATCACCTAGACACGCAACTGAAACGTGCCTACATAGCCGATTCTAAGTGTTCGAGGGTGGGGGTGGGTGATATCTTGAATTTGTACTATTCCTGTCTTCTCCGCTCCGCTCTGGTCTTGCTTGCTTTGCTCTTTGAAGAAGGCTTTGATTCGTCATTCTTTGCACATCTTCTAACCACTTCAGACTAAAGAGATTCAATCTTCGCTTAGAACTTGGGAGATATGACAAATATCGCTTGTCGGTGGGTACTTTTATGTATGAGGCAGGACCTGTCGGATAGTGAAGATTTGATCAACAATCTTCTGTAGGGAAGTTCTCTCAGCCTTGTTTTCTTTGATGAGCTCTTTATTTTTCATGCGAGTATTAATATCAAGGTGATGGATCATCTGTTTTTATCATGGTATTTAGTAACTAACCATCTACTTTTGGTTAATACTTATGTCTATGTGTAATGAATAACTCTGTATCAGCATTTGTAAACGCTTTCGAGGCTAAATTATCAGTGCCTCCTGCTTTAGCTGGTTTCAGATTAAAGACTGTCTTTACAACGCTCGTCAAAATCCATTTAATGTTGGATGGATTCAGTTATACGAAATTGAATGTTTGAATGGGTTGTTCTTAAAAGCTGTGGAAATATAGGCTTCAAAGATGTTGTTGTGTTTATCACTGGTTTTTCGTAGGGCGCATCTTGCTAATAAGCCTTAATAATTGGTGGATATTATCTAGTGTTGATGTGATGGGGGATGTCTTTTCGATTTCTTTCGTTTTCATCATCCACTCTTGTTAAAGGCCGTTAGCAAGATGTACAATCGATTTGTCTTTTTTGGCAATCATTCGCTCCTCTTCAAGTTGTCTGCCTGCCAAAGCGCTGTCTTCCTTCATATAGCCCAGTTTGAATAAAACTATGTAGAGAGAGAGAGAGAGAGAGGAAACTCCTTGATTTGGCTCCAAGTTCATTCAGGTTAAATGTGAATGTCGTCTGTTTCAAAGTGTTTTTTTTTCAACTCTTAGTAAATACTTGACCTCCAGTTAAAAGCAGCAAACATGCTTCTCGTTTATTATTTTGAGTCAGTGCAGCCTAATTTGAAATCGGAAGCGGTACACATGTTGATTCAAATGGAGTGAAAAACATCCTCAATAAGTGGTGTTTACTCATTAGAATCATCGAGGTTTTTAATCGTAGATTTAGGTGTGGCTGTACTCACATTAACTCTAATGTCTCTCTCTCTTCGTCTTTTAAGTTAATCCAAAGTGTGAGTGAACCAGTTGTCGTCCGAATGAAATTGCAACATACAACCAATATATCTTACATCCATTATTATTATTATTATTATTTTGAAGGCTAAATTGTTTCTTAATAATTATTAGCTAGTAAGTAGTTAGTTTCGTTAGCAGCGATCTTGGAAAGATTGGTTGGATGCTGTTTTTTTACAGTGTATCTTGAATCTTTGATATCGGTACTTTAGAGTTGACAGGACTGTAAGGAAACATTAATAGAGATGATCATCTCACATTGTGATTATTTTCCTGTGTTTATGGACCATATCATGTGTCGTCGTTGTTTCAGTAGTAGGCTGATGACTGATAACCACACACATGCTCCGGGTTCGACGCTCAACCGACACGCTACTAAACGTCATCCGGTTTAACACCTACAGAATCGGTAAGCCCGACACAGAGGGGAAGCTAAGCGAGATGGTGATATTGCTTGCTAGTGTACCATAGTGCACAAGTTCTATTCTTATATCAGAGGTGCTGGTAAACCTACTCCGTAAAATAACAACATCCCTGAAACTTCAAAAGCTTAAAGCCTTATACTTCACTTAGAACTCGATTTAAAATATGAATCTTGTCAGTAGACATGAAGAAGGAGAAGTCAAGAATGTCTGTCTTATAAAGTGTTTAGTAATTGGATAGTTAAGATTGTAACAATATTAATTATTTTTATTATTAATTGTATTTCGTTGACGCATAGATTCTTTCACTAGACGGTAAATTATAGTGTATTGCTTTTTGAAGTGAGATTTTAGTGGAATAATAACTATTGGTTAGTAGAAATGATTAAAAATTCCCATTATAATTTTTTCAAAAGAGTGGTGTTCCGATAGCTTGCTTTTCATCAGGTTCTATATACTTAATGGTGAATGAATTAGTGTTATTCATAACATTAATGTTGCTGTTTAAATAACATCGAATCAACAATAATAATAGTAATGATAATATCAGTGAATTACAGTTCAATAGCATCAACATAAAAATAAGCTTAATGTCAGAGATGTAAATTAGAAAAAATAATAATACAGATTCATGAGTTTATAGTCTCCACTGAAGGCCGGCTAGGGCATTCATTAGTAGTGGCTGGACTTACTTCTTCTGCAAACAGAGCACCAGTTGTTTTAGGAGAATCGATAGTGAAAGCCTGTGCTGTGTGGAGTATGCGGTACGTGGATGTTTTTGGTAATTCGTTTGGTACCCGATAGATGATGATGGAGAAGGATTCTTCAATGCTGGCTGACTTTGGGGCCAGCCGGTTTGGACCAGGTGGTGGTCTAATATTGGACCGTCGATGGTTTCCACTACACCTTTATTTAGCCATACTGGGGAGATGTTCTCGAGTGAGCACGAAAAATCAAGTGCCTAGAGGAACGGCCAATATAGCTCACTTCACCACAGTCTCAGTTGAATTGGTAGATACAATTGGAAGTGGCTAGCTGGTCTAGGTACTTCACTTCATCTTTCATTTAGGGAATGACTACTAGTTGTGTAGAAAATGAGACTTGTAGTCGGCCAGCATTAAAAGTTTTTTGAACTGATTTCTTTAACTTCTTCATAATCATTTCGCTAGGTATATGGCCCTTGAATTGCAGTCGTGTGCATAAATAAAGGCTTCTTGTTTACGGATAGTGAGTAGTGAGCAGTCCTTTTCCTCTATCTTAGTCATATGTTTCTTGATAAATTTTTCTGGATAGCTATTTTCAATTAAGGTTTCATGTAGAATCCTTAGTTGATCTTCAGTTGCCTCTTCTGAGCATGTATATATAGCTCTGACCCCCATGGCTGAGGATGTTTACTGAATTTCTTTTGTACTGGGAAGGAAAAAAGTTACGAAAATGTGTATATTGTCCGGTCGATGTGGTTTTCCTGTGTTGTGTTGTGCTGTGCTGTGCAAATTCCTCTTTATACTGCCCTACCATCTAGTTTTCTTGTCAGGAGGACATCTAGAAAGGTAGTTAATTGTGTTTTGGGATTCCTCTTCACATGTGGATTTCATAGCAGAATGTTGTACTTCATTGAATTTAGTTATTATTATTATTATTGTTATTGCTTTCGTGTCAATTGAATCACTGTTGTTTTTTTCTACGGTTGATTTTCATTTCAGTTAGAAAGTAGTGTGTGTTTTCTAGATTAGGTAGTGCTATCGTACAAACGACAGACACACTGTTCTGATGATCAGGAGATTTTCTGTTCGTATGTACTTCATGTACTTTTTTAACAAACAGTATGCACTTGACGCGTGTTGTTTACACGATTATTCTTATTTTGCTTTATTCTTCTCTCTTTTTTATTCTACCTACCCAATCACATGTGTGTGTGAGTGTTGGTTAACAACAACAACAACAGATTATCAGTAAAAGTAAGCCTTCCCGGAATCGTGTTCCAACATCTCTGGATGAGGTGGGCAACTGTAGAAATCCATCAATATGCTCAGTGGATACTTTGTCTCACTTGCCTGGACTTGATCAATTATTGCCGATTATTCAATTTGTTGTCATCCGGGCTGGTGTTATGTACCTGGGCGCTGAACTAGCGTATATTGAACAACTGGCACTGGAACGCTTATCGCTTACTGGTTGGTGGTGGTCTCCTCCCCTGTCTAATGATGACTACACTGCAAGTGTGTTATGATCCAATTCTTCGAGAAGGTTTACAATTCACAATTCAGTTTTGATGGCGATATCCTATTTTTTATATTTTAGTTTTTAGCTGTGTATGTGTGTGTTTTTCTTTTTTAATATCTCAAATTGTGAATTCATTGAGAAGGTAGGTAGGTGACTAATTTCGATTATTTCATGTTTATTTCATTGAAGATGATTTATGCTGAGATTGTTTGTTTTTGAAACAGAGAAGTAACGTCTTGCTACAATAATAATCTTATGCATTTTTTCTCCTATTTACACTGACTTATTTTTGAGCAATGATCATTACTTTCCAAACTTACCAGTACATAAATGCAGAAATACGCACTCACGCAGACATACACAAGATCCAACACCTGTCATTTCTTTTCATACATTTTTTGTTGTATTTTTATTCTCATATTTCTGTTCCCCCCCCCCTACCACCACCATCACCACCACCACCTTAACAATAACTACCGGGATTCTTTCAAATACTGTCCATTTCTACTGTTTGTATCATCACGACATTCTGTAATATTCCTATGTGACTGTTTTCCACCATATTGGATACCTTCTTAAGACTTCAATTGTACTGTACTTAACAGTATTGTATTGTTTTGTACATTAAAGCTAGTGATTGGCTGTGATTGCTGCTTCTTAGTATCATTTTTGTTTATATAGTTTATATTATTTAACTGTCTATCGTCTAGCTAGCTGTTCGTCACAATGAGAATCAAGTACTGTATCCACCATACCATACCATACAAGCAGGCATTGTTAAAAACCAATCTAAATAAACGTGATATTATTTAACAGAAACATTTGTTTTCTCCAACTCTGACAGAGTACCTACCTACCTACCACCTGCCTGCCACATAGCATCGTGTTGAAGGTGACAAGAGATAGATACTAGTGCCAACTAATCCGTGCTAATCTGCTAGCTCATGATGCTGTTTGTTGTTGTCCATACCTGATGTTTCTTTTGTATCTATCTCTTAATGGTTGTTATTCACTCACTGTATTGCTTACCTCTTTTTGTTTTGTATCGTTATAGTGAAGGGGACTGACTGTCTTTGACACACAACTGTTGTTTTGTACACTGAACTAATTTTGCGAGTCTTTAACAATTTCATATTTGTCCTCTACAAGAAAAAGAGTCTACAACGGTAGGTGACTACGAAATCCTCTTGTTTATGAGTATCTCGTTTTTGTTATTATCATAATTAGTAGTTGTCGTAGTACTTACTACTACTAATAGTATAGTAGTAGTAGTAGTAGTAGTAATAACAGTAGACGAAAACGTTGGCTTTTACACACAGATTATAGGACCAAAATTACTCTGGTTCCTGAGCTTAAATAATTAATTAATGGGGGGACTCAAGTAGTAATCAGAATTGTGTGCACGTTTCTTGTTTCTTGAAAGTAAGAAAAATCAGCAAGCAGTTGGGAAACTTTGTTAGAGACAGACAGACAGATGTAAACGCATTTATTCTTACATTTTTTCTCTAGTGTATTGAATGTATGTATTGAATTAAGTTGAGCAGACTCTTATCTTTCAGTACATTTTCAAACTTCATCACTTTTTGTGACGATGCTCTGCATGGAGAGCCAGCCAGCCAGTCGACCAAGACTTCAACTGCCTGTTTCGATTCATTCAGCAGCCGTCCAACCTCTCCTGAACAACCTGGTACGGTGCGACAGAGGGTGGATCGGTTTTCCTCGCGAAATGCCTTCATGTAGCCATTCGTTCATTGTCTCAGCCATACCACCACTGCCTTCATGCGGCACGTGTGCTCTTCGCAAAAGTCAATGTAAACGTCTGGTGCTTATAAACTGAATTGATGGACATTTTTAGGGGAGCTGGAAAACCCTGATTGAAAACCTATGGTGCACACGATCTGGTCTCCACAATCCGAATGTATCTGATGGCGTATCAGCTCGTTTTGGTTACTGGTAATCGTGGGAAGGTAGCTGCCCCACTCACTGCCTTGTAGACCAAGCTTTAAGTTAAAAGGTGGTGGGCGTCTGGCCTCTTAAGATAAGAACCGCCTGCTTCGGTCTGGGCCTCCGGACAGTATCCCCCAGTGCATCTCTTGGTGCCCATAAAGTAGCAAGCTTGTTTTAAATGAACGATAATTCAGTCAGGTGGGCATAATTATGCATTATAACTATCTGCGTAGTATAGGGAACCTATCTAACTAACTAGCTAAGTAACTAACAAGAACACAATAAATATTTCAGTGTTTGAAAATTTCTTGGAATATCATTTGTTCTATGGATATACGCATACCTCCAGTTCGAGCTGTTCGCATAATTATTCACTGGTTTTCTCATTGGAATAATCTACAACGTCAAATATTCCTGTCTACCTGGGATTACCTGGAAGACAGGTAGAGGACAAATATGAAATTGTTAAAGACTCGCAAAATTAGTTCAGTGTACAAAACAACAGTTGTGTGTCAAAGACAGTCAGTCCCCTTCACTATAACGATACAAAACAAAAAGAGGTAAGCAATACAGTGAGTGAATAACAACCATTAAGAGATAGATACAAAAGAAACATCAGGTATGGACAACAACAAACAGCATCATGAGCTAGCAGATTAGCACGGATTAGTTGGCACTAGTATCTATCTCTTGTCACCTTCAACACGATGCTATGTGGCAGGCAGGTGGTAGGTAGGTAGGTAGGTACTCTGTCAGAGTTGGAGAAAACAAATGTTTCTGTTAAATAATATCACGTTTATTTAGATTGGTTTTTAACAATGCCTGCTTGTATGGTATGGTATGGTGGATACAGTACTTGATTCTCATTGTGACGAACAGCTAGCTAGACGATAGACAGTTAAATAATATAAACTATATAAACAAAAATGATACTAAGAAGCAGCAATCACAGCCAATCACTAGCTTTAATGTACAAAACAATACAATACTGTTAAGTACAGTACAATTGAAGTCTTAAGAAGGTATCCAATATGGTGGAAAACAGTCACATAGGAATATTACAGAATGTCGTGATGATACAAACAGTAGAAATAGACAGTATTTGAAAGAATCCCGGTAGTTATCATAAATGTGTTGGTGTCAATGGTTGTGCGGGTTAACAGAAATGTGAGAAGACAATTACACCTTCTCACTTCTGACTTTGGAGTTGGAGATCGCAACAATACCATGATGTAAAAGGACTACATCAGCTCAGACAAGAATTACATATATTGAAATGGTATTCCCAATTTTTGATTTTGCAAAAACCTGGTCCTAGTCTATAGCTTCAACTTTGATACTGTGAACCGGATAGTTTTAGCTTGGTTCCTGTTTATCACTTCACCCTTATTGCGTCTATCATAGCTGGGCAGCTGATGACTTGAATTTATTTCTTGGCTGATCATGTCACATACTTTTTTATTAAGAATGTCGTTTTTAAAACGAAATAGACTTGGTGTCTTTGTATTCAAGGTTAGGTATTAAGAATAATGCATTAAAAGTTCGTTGATTATTTATCCTAAAGACGGTTAAAATTGTTACGGTCACATGGTTCTATAAGAAAGTACACATCAGTAACAAGCTTTATTATCATGTATGACTAGTATTTTCCCTCATTTTTATTATTTTGTTTTCATATTTTTTATTATAGATTGATTCCACACAGTATTTTTGGAAGAAGTGTGGAATTTTCAGCATGTGATATCTGTAGCCCACAACTGAGCAGGTCGACCATTGATATCAGGTGTGCATCAGTCGGGAACGAACCCCGGACCATGTGGATGATCGGCAAGCGTCCTAACCGCTGTGACACAGGCGCACATTTTAGTGTAAGTTTAAATAATGCTAGATAATATTTCTCCAAAAATATGGGAAGGTGAATTTATGGTTCAATGGTGAGATGATATCCAGATGCTACACAGGCAGGCAGTCCGGATTCTATTCTCCACCAACGCACTCCTAAACTTCACCCAACCAGGAGTAAGCGCAGAATAGAAGGATTTATACATTCCATCAACTATTTTTTTTGTCATAATTCACATTATTATTGGAAAAAATCCATATATTTACAAGTGTACAGTACAAACTGATGATGAATTCGTTGGGAAGAGACCCTTCACTGAATCACTTATTTTGATTTTCTATGTCCCAGTGAGAATTTCCACGGAATACCAGCTCAGCTCCAATAACTGGTGAATTTTTATGAGCCAAGTTTCATTGTCAATACAAGCTTGTTAGTTAAGGAAAAACTAGTGAGATTTTAATAATTGTACCCTGAAAACACTTAGTTATCTTTTCAACATAATTCCTATAAATGAGACTTATTGAAAGTTAGTCCTAAAGTTCAAGTCACTTTAAAGGTCAATTCGTTGACTGACAATCTTTGTTTAAATTTATTTTAATTTAGCATTTTGCTTTAGGGTCAAATCGAAATAGGTCATGACACAGAATAGGCATACGCCGCGATGAGTGAAAAACAGACAGGTGTGTCTGTGTCTTTGTTATCGGACCATGAATCATCTTCACTATAAAATTGCTTAGTCATACCACGAATTTATACATTTGCAAGTTTTTCGGGTTAAGGCCGCATATCCTTTTCCAGAATTCTAAATACTAGAACACGGATGGTTGTTCAATAAATTCGGGTTCATGTCACTGAAATTACATCAGTGTAAGTATGCTATCAATAAATAACAATAATAATAAACGCTTTATTCTAAACATTGATTTCATACATAGAATGGAATTTTTTCAGCACTTGAAACCTCAGCAAATTTGCTCCATTTACAAATGAAATCAGAAAAAATAAGCTCGAGATTTTTAGAGTTTGTACTAATAATCTGAGGAACTGCCTTCAACTTATGTTTTATACGCCTCATTGTTTGTTGCAGTCCACTACCATATATTTCTTTGAATGATGGAGAGCATCAAAAGTGACAGGTTGAAATTTTTATCAAAATGATCACTGACTGACTGGTTTCAACGTAGAACTTTGCATCAGTAGCTCAGCGCTTAGGACTCTCGCCAACCATGCACATGGTCTGGGTTTCAATCCCCAGCCGACGCACACCTGATATCTATGATCGGCTTGCAAAATTTGGGCTATCAATATCATATGCTGAAAACTCCATACTTATAAAAATACTGTGTGGTTTCAAACTATAATCAAAATTAAAATTAATTAAAAAATGTGCAGCATTTCTAGTCTCAACAACTTCACACACACAACGCACACAAAGCGAGAGAAGAAAGTAAAAAGACATTCAAAACGGAGATTATAAACAGAAATATGAGGCAAAAAGAATAGGAATATCGAAGAACTATATAGTTTCATTGGATATTATAAGTCACAAGGAGTGGATGCCTCTGCACTAGCCATTGAGAACGATTTTTGAGCCATATCGCCAATTGTTTCCAGCCATTGGTGTTTACCGTCCCGAGGACCCCAACTAGAAAGTCTACACCCTCCTACGTGGCTGGCTGAAACTAACTGTTGTGAATTTCATTGACTGATGAAGCCATGTTTTGGTTTGACCGCCGCTAGCTCTTTTCCAACCTGATCCATCCTATGTCAGCTAACATTTCCCGTCGAGGGAGGCGATGACTGGGTATACGTAACACATGTCTAAACATCTGACTCAATCGGTGTAACTCACAACCTAGTCGATTGATTTCCCCTCCTTACCTAGCACTCGACCGATGCCTCACCTCAATATCGCTCACCTTATTATACTATTTCACAGGGGAGATAGAACGCTGGCACCTATGATCAAAGACAGCTAGCTGGCCTTTTCATGTCTTCCACTCTCAGTGGCCATGTCACACAGTCAGCCATTAAAGCAGGACAGAGCTGGCTGCTGAGCAGTACACACGCCCTTTGGTCGATAGTCAGCCGAATATCATGTCTACTTAGCCAGAGATGGCGTAAGTTGGCACGTATCAAACTAGCCTCCTGTATCCGTGCTGACATCTCGTCAGCGGTCCACCCGCTGGGACTGGCTGATGCAACTTCTCAAATAAGTGAAGTATTCGGCAGGCTCCACCAACCACTTCACGTCCTATTTCTAAACTGTAATCCAGTCAGTCGTGTAGCATCGTGTTACATTTGGCGGGAGCGTATCATATGCCAAACATTCACTGGTTGCAGCTAAAGGTGTTTATAAGACTACGTTTTGTCAGCATCTCTACCTAGAAGGACTATATCATCTGCATATTCTAAGTCGACGAGATTATTCCCTGACGGTAACAAGTCAATCCCTGAGTCGCTAAAGTGAGCTAAGGTTAATTCCATTAGTTCGCCTATGATGAAATTGAATAGAATTGGAGACAGTGGGCATCCTTGATGAACACCACTGGTTGTCGCCACTTCAGATGACAACTCATCGTCAGCTTTACCTGGATGCATGAGTCTGATCAGTGCAATGTATTTTTTTCTCGCTCTCCCTTCACAGCCAAACATCGCCACAATGCCTCTCGGTCGACAGAATCGAATGCCGCCTTTAGGTTAAGAAATATGACGATTGTTGGACGCGAGTAAGTTTGCCTACGTTCCACAATATTTCGGAGGGTGAAGCCAAAGTAATACGATTTGAGATCTTTGATTGATTCAAAACAAAACGAACTGGGTTATTCGAGTATATATATAGATATGTAAACCAGATAGTATTACACTAAACATCGCTCGGAAATTAGAATTTTGGTTTAACTGATTCATACCATTAACTTGAATTCATGACCTCTGTTCGGGTAATTTTGAACCTCTTATATAGTCAACTTTTATGTAAAAATGTATGACAAGTTTGTGTGTAATCAGAATTTTCGAAATATGTTGTACAAATACACTTGACGTCACAAATAAATTCAGCCGTTTTTCGCCTTGTCATAATTCTTTATCACTTCATGATGTTTTCGTTCGCATTTCAATTCATATTAGTTGTTTACGTTTTAATAGCTTCATTTAGCGTATTTCCACGATGTATATCAATGAAAAATAAATTAACCTTTAGGATGACGCCCAATAAAAAGCTCAGAAAACTTTTGTTTTGCAGTTAGAAAAATAGCAGCCAATAAGAATACATTTTGAGCCTCATCCTAATGGGAAAAGGAATAAAAAAACCAAAAAATATATGGTTGTTATGCTGACTTCAACTTTAAGTCGCTTTAACATGTTTTTGAATTTAATATATTCATCCTCGTAGTATTAATTTTTATTGATATTGTACTACATCCTTGTAAAACTAAGAGTATTGCATAGATAGTCCACTATTCACAGTACACCATGATAATGAGCCTCCTAGCATGGTGGCCACATCGCAAACTTGACTGATAGAATTCACTTTGCACCAAACAAAGGATCAGACGCATGACACTAGTTACTACTACCTAGTGTCTAATCAAAGTATTCAATACAGTCCTAAAGGAGGTCATTCGCGAGCCCAAATAGCTGCTCAGTGTTAACGTCTATGACTACAGCACTCACTGCGTGATGCTGGTTCGAATCTCAGAAGGGACATGAATTCCTTCGAGGTTGCAGATATGTCTTGCTTACAAGTGTGAACAAGCACGAAACCTAGGCCAAGCAAGGTTACCTGCCAATGGACTTCAACCATATAATAAATAGTTCCTATAGCTTAGAACTCACCATCAATACACATTAACGTACCTGATGAGAAATAGGAGTCGGAACTGTATGGTATCACGGGTAGCACGATTTCGTTTAAACAGTGCATGAGCCATATTCTTCGGGAACCCGTTCATCAGTGTAGAAAATGTTTTTCTGCTGAAGTGTATTACTGAATGAAAAAGCAGTTGTCCAATGTCCATGAAGATTTGAGTAGCCAGATACTTGAGTTTACTCATATCTACTCCTAATCATAACACTAATCATACAGAATTCTTTGGTTAAATACATCAGCTCAGTGGTGAACTAACTATCCAAACTGCCATATGAGCTACTGAAAAGAAAACATCAGAAAGAGTTTACTTGTAGACCAAAAGCAGGATGCTTATGAGAAGTCATTTAATGTAAAAGCGACTTTCTGTATCAGCTGATAGCCGTTTAATCAACCTGCAATGCTTTTTGAAGACTTAAGGATTTTGTTACTGACCAAAAAAATTATTCACATAGATCACAGCTTGTACATAACACAGTCTTTTGCATCACCAACAAATAAGTTTTGCAAATTCTAGTGATGAAGCTGTCTTTATCAATGCATTTTGTTCAACAATGTGTATGACTCCTGATGAATTCGAAATACGTGTCAAAGAGTTTAGGGCGAAATTGTATTACGTTAAAGTTTTAGACTGTTGGCTAACCAATGGGATGTCTTAGCCTTGATTCGCGTGTTGAAAACATGAACAACCACCTAATAATAATAATGATGGAAAATGAAATTGGTTTGTGATTTCTGTGAATGATTAAGACATCTATAAACTGTATACATTCAGTGTCTAGGCATATCAGTTTTACAGAAGGGAGGGGAACCAGGCACAACACACTTGTCTCAAACTCACCATCAGAGCTGGTGTCCCTCAAGGCGCTGTCCCTCCTCCTTTTCTTTTTTCTTTCTTCTTGCATGACTTGCCTCACTCTGATGAAATAAACTTTGTAACGTGCGCTGATGATTTAACAGTTTCAATGACTGTTAACTCGCAGC